AGAGAGAGAGAGAGAGAGAGAGAGAGAGAGAGAGAGAGAGAGAGAGAAGACCAAAGTTCAATATTGAGTGTCTTCTCTATAGTTCTCTACTGGATTTTTCTGAAGCAGGATTTCTTACTGGACCTGGAGCTTGCCGTTTCAGGGAGACTAGATTAGCAGTGAACCCTGGCCTGCCTCTGTTGCTCCCACCAACACTAGGGTTATAGGCATCTATCGCCAGGCCCGGCCTTTACATGAGTGCTAGATATCAGAACTCAAGTCCTCATGTTTGCACAGCAAGCACTTTACCCACTGAGCCATCTTCCTAGTTCCAAAGTTAAACTTTTGAACATCTGGGAGGAGAGAGGAAGGCAGGCAAAGGTCACTGCAGCTGTGCCCCCTGTAGTGTTCATCCACAAAGACAGACTCCAAGGCTGAGGTAGAGAAAGATACTTTAAAAGAAAATGGGGAAACATCAAAGGGAGCCCAATCTAGCTCAACCTGGCCGACCCCATATACCAGTCAGCACAGGCTCACCAGTCACTACAAGCCAGTGGCTCTCACGAGGCAGGGACATCCAGGTAAGTCACAGGATCGGAGAAGGGGCCTGGCCGGGCCCAGTAGTCCAATGCTCGCACTCGATAGGAGCCAGAAACCACACCTGTGTCTGCAGACACAAAAGCACATGTTTTCTGAAGTTCCTGAAGCCCCAGACCCACCCCACACCATACCGTGGGAAGTCCAGCAATACAACCGCCAAGGTCAGGGTTTTGAGCGCACCTGGGCTGAACACAAAGAGGTTGAAAGTAGACGGCCTCCTGCTGATTGGGGCATACGCCTCACCCTTCTGGGAGAACTGGATCTCATATGTCCACAGGCACCTGGGGAGGGCTGGGTCAGTACTGAAGCTGGGACCAGGTAAACCCTGAAGGCCTAGATTGGTGGGGTAAGGTGGACCCACAACCCTCTACTCTTCAGCTCCCTTCCTGGTACCGCTAGGGTCCCTGGTTACTCTCAAATTGTGACAGGTCACAGTGAGGGGAGAGCATTGGATCTGTGCGGGTGTGTGCATTGCGTATTGAGCACAGAGGTCCACAGCAATAGAGGAGGGAGATGAATGATCACAAGGGTAATGACGTAGGGAAGGATAACCACCCCCACTCACGCACTTGGAGCCCACATGCTCATCCGACCAGACTAGAACCAACTGCCCACGCGTCAGGGGCAGTGCACGGAGCCGGCTAACCTGTGAGGAGGGAGTAGCTATGAAGGGGTGAGCTAGGGAGCCTCACAGGTGGGGTAGAAAGCTGCCACTTGCCTTCCCTGGTGGCTTCAAGGGTTGTGTGCATATATGCACCAGCAAAAGCGATGGCAAAGAAAGCTTCCTATGTAAAGTCAGGTGGCCTCCAGCAGGGAAGGGACGTGGTACTTCAACCACTGGGTCCTGGAGACAAGGAAGCAACATGTGGTTGGCAAACCTCCCCAATAACTAAGGTGCCCCTTCTCCCCCCTCCCTTCTTGCCCACAAACCTCCACCATGCGCATATGTCGGAACTGCTCTGCAGTGGGGAAGACTGGCTGACCCATGTGCTGCCACTCACGGTAGGGGCTGCAGAGTTGATTGTCTAGGTAGTGTACTACATAGACAAGCCCTGTGAACCCATACGCCATAATTTACCTCCCTTGTCTCATCCCTGCTGGGATCCCAACTTTCTTCAGAACCTCACTCACCCAATCCAGGGGGTACCCCGCGAAGGTGAAGAGTCACGGGGATACTGCGGTTGAGGTGTACATGGATGTCATCACTAGCATAGATCAGGACCGTGGTACGCCAGGCCTCTGAGGAGACTTCGGGGCGATGGATGCTGGCCAGGACACCCACTGTGTGATTGCTGTCCAACACAGCCCCAGCCTCTGACACCTTTGCCCAGAGTTGTTCTCCATCTACAGGTCAGGCAGAGGACCGAGGCTGTTGGCTCCCTCACACCCAGCACCTGGCTTCCTACCCTAATGCCTGGCTCCCACCATTTGTGAGAGGCCCTGCCATACTGTTCAGTCCACAGAATGGGAGGAGGGGATGAAGTGGAGATTTGGGAAACCAGCCTAAGAAACCCACCCAGCAGCTGGAGGAAGTATGCTTGTCCCTGCCCAGCATTTCCATGTTCTCTCACTCTGACCCAGCATATGCAGAAGCAGGGTCATTGCTCACCCAGCAGGGCCATCAGCCCCATGACTGTGAGGACTGGCTTTCGCAGGAGCTGCACATGGGGTGGGCAAGTATTGTTGACCTGGAAGCGGGCAGTAAGTGTGCGCTGGGAGAAAGGGTGTGGGTGGTAACTCAGGAAGGCATTGTCATTGCTCAGGAGCACATAGCGCATGGAGGAACTGCTATTAGCAAGCAGCAGGTTCTGGTGCTGTGCAATAACCTGTGGACATCAGGGCAGTTGAGACGTGTACCTGTGGCCGCCTGTACTGTCCCCACCACCGCCGCCCGAGGAAGACTTCCTGAGGCTGGATGAGGCTACATAACAAGGACCCACCTTCACCACCAAAGCCGCATAAGTCACATCAGCTCTCCAAGTTTGTGGCAGTGACCAGCCCACCAGAGGGTCTGCCTCGTCATTGTAAATAGGGGTGTCCTTGAACTCAGGGAACAGCTGCTGGATCTGCTCCACAACAGCCACCTCCTGCTCCAGGATGGAGATGGAGCTGCCTGCGCCCTGCAGCCAGCACGTACCTCTCAGTTCAGGCTCAACTCAAAGCAGGCAGGGAGGGGTGAGGGAATCACATACCTTCTTGTGCAGGGAGATAAAATCCAGACGCACGCCCACCTCGCCAGTGAAGAAGTTGGTTCCATTGGCACAATGGCGCAGGAGGCTCCAGCAAAGTGGTGACTTTGGCAGGGGGTGGAAGGAATCCCCAGGGCCACCCAGCCTCAACGTGGGGCTGGCCATACGCAGCCCCTCAGAGCAGGCATCATAGTAATTCAGGAAGCCTAGGGCGGAGGGGTCTTGAGGGTCTGGTGTTGTCGTGCTTCCCTTTCATGCAGCCCACCCAACAGGACCTGGAAAAACACTGCCCACCTTGTGCGGTCATGGACACATTGTCAAAGTCATGGTGGTCTGGTTCATTCCAAGTCTCGAAGTTCCATTTGGAAACATGTGTCAGTCCATACCTTCCTGCAGAGTGTCTCTATGTTACACACTGGGAGCTCTATTCTCAGGTTTGGGAATAGAGCCAACCTGGCATCTCCTAGGGATTGGGCCCCATGCGGTGGGGTTCCATTTGATAGGGGTCATCTAGTTCCAGGTAAGTACCCCACCCCCATCAGGTGAATCCCTCACCCACCAGCCATCTCTGGCTGGGGTATAGGAATGTCTGTGGCAGAAAAGACCATGAAGGGGCCTGGGTGATCAGGGAGGAGGGCCTCCCCAGGACAGCCCACTGCAGCCCCCCAGGATTTCCCCCTTCTATGCACCGATATATCTCCTGGCCAAGAGAGAAACCAAGTCCTTCCATTCAAACACCTGCTGCTTGTCCTCAAAGTCCGTGAAGTGCCCAGAAGGACTGCCCATCAGCTCAAATCCTGAAACACACAGGGGTAGCTGCCCCACTATCCAACACATCAAGTCGTCAGTGCTGAGATACCACCACCCACTAGGACACAGAATGACAGTTTGTGGAGAAAGCAGGGTTGCTACTCACCAGGGAGGAGCTGGTTCTCCATGAGGAGGTCCAGGAATGCATCTAAGTGGGTGAAGTTGTATATCAGCCCCTGCCTAGATGACTTCCTGTGGAGAGAAGGTCAGACCTGGAGAGAAGCAGTATTTCTCCACACTCTAGGTTGGAACTCGGACCACATTTAAGCACGTGGGTGCCCAAGTTCCCAGGGAGATCCAGGCTTTCAGATGGGCCTTCCCTTTGGAAAAGACCAGCACTGTGAAAGTCTATCACAACGTGTACAAGTCTGCACACACTCTGTACAAGTGTATGCACACAGAACCCCACACTAAGCCTTAAAGACACTGAAAACAGGGTTGGAGAGATGGTTCAGCAGTTAAAAGCACTGTCTCCTCTTCCAAAGTTCCTGAGTTCAATTCCCAGCAACCACATGGTGGCTCACAACCATCTCTAATAAGATCTGGTGTCCTTTTCTGGCCTGCAGGCATACATGCAGACAGAACACTATATATAGAATAAATAAGTCTTTAAAAAAAAAAGACACTAAAAACTTGGGGCTATGGAAGCTTCTATCACTCACAATGAAATGTGAATGAGGTGTGTGTGCATGAAACCTTCAAGAGATTCAGGTAGGGCTCAGATCAGTCACCACACTGAAGTGCAAGGGATAGGCAAGTTGTACAGGAAAGGTGTAAGACAGGGATTGGGCAGAGAGGTGAGGAGGCATCTTAAGGCAGCTTATATGGGAACAGGGGTACAGGACAACAAACAAGCAGAAATTGGAAGGCACCACCCCCATTCTACACACTCTCAGAGACTAAGGCTCCAAACTTAGCCCCACAGTCCCTCTCCTTCTCTCCATACTATGAAACAACATGGATGGACAAGAAAAGTTGGTGGAGAGCTTCCTCAATTCCATACTGGGCCTCTTCTCATAGGGCTCAGCTTCTGAGAGGAACAGCCATCAGACAACTGCCTGGGTCTTTATTAAAATATCACAAGGTTGGCAAAAGGGAAATATCAGAGTGAAAGGGGAAGACGATGAGGAAGAGGAAACCACTCTCAAGAGGTGACATCAAAGATCTGCCGAATGATGAGAATATCTGGGGAACAGCGAGTACAAAGACCCTTAAGTAGGAGCAAATCAGCAGTAGTCAAGCTGGCCTGGAGCAGAATAAAGGTACAGATCTGGGAATGGGGTTACATGGGGGCTTGTGACCATGTGAAGATGGGACATGACTCAGGCCACATGATTCTGAGCAAAACAGGAGACATGTAAGGTCATGATCAGAGCAAAGCCACTAGGTTCTGGAAAGATCCTAGTAGGGGTTAACTGAGATGAACACACGAGACGTCAACGGGCATGAAGGAGAAGACGACACTGGAGACAGTGTGTAGACTGAGTGTGGACACGCTGGAGACAGTGTATAGACTGAGTGTGGACACGCTGGAGACAGTGTGTAGACTGAGTGTGG